GTTGTCAACGACCTCATACTGTAGGTGCAACCCATTGTACACGCCACTGCTTAAACCTCACAGAACACGCTTTATTTAGTCACACATAACTTTTCCACCCAGGCAGAGCTAGCAAAATTGTAATCTAGCACTATTATTATTATTATTATTATTATTATTATTATTGCAGATAACCAGGATGGCGGTAGTTGACAGCCTCACCAACTCCACAGCCGTCTACAACGACACGGGGTTCACAGCCGTCTACAACGACACGGGGTTCACAGCCGTCTACAACGACACGGGGTTATATTGTCACGTGTTAGAGATGGGCTTTACTCGGGTAGGAATCCCGCTCCTCTTGTCTCTGATCAGCCTTCTCGGGTTGGCGGGAAATGTCCTTGTTATCTACGTCATATCCAGGAATAAACGGATGAACGCGCTGTTCTTTAACTTAGCTCTGGCTGATTTGTTCTTCATCATCGTGTGTGTACCGGTTCAGATCACTAACTATGCCTCGGCCAACAGAGTGGCACTGGGTCCTGTGATCTGCAAGATCAGCTACTACGTCACCTACTTCACCATGGCACTCAGTATCTACTCTCTTGTGGCCATCTGTGTCCTGCGCTATGTGGGCATCAAACACCCGCTTCACGCCAGGAAACTGTTACGCCGCAGAAACGTGATTCTCGCCAGTAGCGTGATTTGGGTGTTTACGTTGGTGTTGAACATACCGGTGGCGTTTTTCTACAATGAGACGTCGACGTCATTGTGTAGTGTGTCTACGGGGGAACAGTGGCAGTACTACGTCTACGTCTCACTGACGTCAGGATTTGACTTTGTTATTCCTTTCATCCTGGTCTCTACGCTGTCTACGTTGATTATTGTAACAATAAGGAAAGACCTCACAGAGAGAGAGGAGCTGCATCTGGAAACTGAGGAACAGCTTCAGCAATCCAAGAAAAATACGAAAAGGCTGATTGTTCTGGTCATATTGGTAACAGTGGTCTTCTTTGTCTGCAACGGACCGCTTAACTTAACTTTAATTCTTGTAGGGATGGGAGCCGTCAGTTTTACGTGTGACCCTGTGGACGGGATTCCTATCATTCTCATTCAAGTTCTGGCCATTTCAAACGCCAGTTTAAATCCTCTGATATTCAACTTTGCATCAAAGGAATTCAGAAAGGAATTTGCAAAAGCCCTGAGTTTTCGTTCTAAAAAAAGAACCACCGACAGTATGGCTTTAACAGGTTGTGGTGGAAATAAAAACGGAACTAAATGTACTCTAAGAGACTCGCAGTAAATATACGCAGTTCAGACAAATCAGTTTTTAATAATCATTGTATGATATTCTATGTTTTTGTTTCCATTTCACTCTACATTTTATCAATATTCAGAGATAATAGACCTTAGGATTAGTTTTTTCTTCAGTATTCTGCATTCTCCTGACCCCTGCTTGCAATTGACCCAATTGTCCGTTTTCCTATGTCTTCTCTGAAATCAGTGGCACTCATTACAGAACGATTACGTTTAAAACCAGCTGAATCCCCTGAGAGATGGGCAAGGTCGGCCATATTGAATTCCACAGTTTTAAAAATCAATGAATGTTTTCGTCAGCAGAGGCGATGTTGTCTCCGTTGTTGTCTGCCACTGCGGTAAATATAGAGACAAAACAAACACTACAAAGCTCGGTGCCTTTCGATATAGGTAATAAGAAGAAATGTAATGTTGTTAATGCATTTTTGTATATTTAATTTGTGAACAAGGTGCACAATAATCAAGTTGTAAGAAGAAAGACGGCGCTTTTTGAAAAGTTCAACCGTTAATCAGATCCTTATTCCAAAAACACACCATTTACAACTCGGGAAACAAGAAAAACTGCCCCCAGACGGCGTTGAAGTCGGAAATCAATTGAGTTATTCTGCATATTTTCTCATTATAAGAAGAAAGAGACGTACTTAACCTCACAGTAAAGCCCGTGGAGATGGTGTCGGCTTCATGCGCTATAATCATGGAGGTTTATCACCTTCAGGATTCCATTTCTACAATTTCGAATCCTGGGAGCTTCACCTGCCCGTCACTCAGCAAACGAAAAGATCAATGTGATTTTCCGGCTTTGAATATTTTTACGAGGCACTTCTTCCTACATGTACCTTATGTACGCCATAACGTCAGATAACGTCAACGCAACAAAATGCGTCGTAGCCTAATTCAGTTTAAATACCGTATAGCACTGATGACTTTATAGAACCAATATATTCACCAGTTAGGACAGAGTTAAGTAGACGGACATTCTTCATGAAGTTTAGAACACATGCGTGACACGTGCTAATTGTTGTAAAATATCAGTAGTCAGTACGGCACCCATGTGGACTCGCAATCTATCAAGTCTTGTGTGGTCAGTCATCATGCACCGGTCAGTTATAATTAACTATCAAATTTGATAACTGTTTTGGTCCGCCCGGGGGTTGGCCGTTAATGAGTTCGTGCCGGCTTGCATTATTAACTTCTGTCCCCCGGGAATAGAGACTGCTGATTACAAGTTAACATTGACACGAACGCAGCAAAGTCACACAACCAGATCTAGATTTTTATGTATTCTGAATTTTGAGCAAAGCTGCTTTATGGAAAACAAAAAGAAAAACTTTTTTTTTCATTCATGTACAAACGCTCCATCCGCTTTGATATGTTAGTGTTAACAATACATATTAGTTGTTAACAATACATGTCGATTTGTCTTTATTTTTTCTTCCGCTGTCTTTTTCTTTTACTTCGTTATTCAAAATTCGTATCCATTTCAAACTTGTTGTGCTCTTTGTTTTCATTAAAACTTTTACGAATAACTCGATACCCTTCACTAATGGTGATGTTATTTTCAATATACACATACTCTCTGCTCCTGTTAAACCTCAACCTCTACTCGTCATTGTGACGACTTGACTTCGTTCATCTTTTTACTTGGTTAACATATGGAAAAGACCTATCATTCTGGTATTTAGTCTCCGTAATTACTTCACCATATGTCTCTGCAAGATAACGTTTTCTAATAATGGACTCCTCGGCACGTGTCGCAGTGTTGGGTAAGCACGCTGTGCAGCTCATAGAGACCGAGGTCCCTGGAGTTTGATGTCCAGTCACTTTAATCCCAATCTCCGATGGCCGATATTGACCAGCAGCCACTGGAGTATGAAGACCACAGGGGTGTGAGCGGTTTATGAGCGGGTCAATATGTTCCTGGTCAAGTGATTCCTATATATAAATTATATCACGATAGCGTAATATTTTACAGTGTACCAGATGGTACTGTGTACTTGGAATAGCTCAATACTGTTTTAGAATGAAGCACATATATTTTAATTAAAATATAAAAACGCTTAACTCCAGATATTGAAAGTGTGTGAATGGTAGAAAAGTCAACAGGATTCGACTAGTCTACATTTTGCAGTATTCCGTATTAAAGTTCTGAATTCCCAAGATTCTACAAATCAGTGAACTCAATGTCCAAACAGTAACAGCAAATTATTTTAGAATGTAGATGAAATTTAATTTTATTATATCTGAAATTGTACTGTTATCCAAACTACGTTACTGCTATGTTGTGTATCAATCTGTCCAATGAGATTATTTCTGAATTAAGTTGGCAAAACTTAGCCAACCCTGGATAGAAGGAGTTTAATCAACCTTCTATGGCAGCTGGGGGTGGTTTACTCTGATATAGATATTGGTCCTAAAATGACGATTGTATATCATAAAATGTTCCAGAACTGTCAACAGGAATGCCTGAGTACGACACCAAATTACTGATTGTGTAGTGTTATAAAGTCTATGAAATATTAGGGAAACAACAAGTACCACCAAAATATTCACCAAACACCAAAGCATAGGTTCAGCACTGGAGTTACCGATCAATTGTAGAAGCCCCACTACATCTTAAACTGAAAGATCTATAAAACCAATTTTCCAAGGACACAAGAGACCAATAATAAAAAGGTTTCGAAACATATCTGTTTTGGCCGCTAATTGCACGATATTGTCAAGGCTCGTGCATGTAGAACCCTTGGGTTTGAAAGGGGAGTGGAAGGATTCGTTCATTTTAAAGCAATAAGGCTGAATTTAAAGGAATGTGATGTATTTAATTTCTCATGTGCCTGGAATAATGTACATCTAAACTGCATAGCAAGAATCAGCCTTTATATTTGATAGACCATTCTAATATAATTGTTCCTAGCATCATTTGAAATAAGGCGGTCGATATCGTGTCTTTTCAACGTAAGATAACATCAGTGTTTGCTACGTAAAACGTTTGCGCCATGTGATGGCAGCAGTGTTGAAGTCTAACAGGGCGTGGTCAGTATTCTGCTGTTCTGTAGAAAACTGCACAATTGGTTGGCTGTGGAAAAGGTTGAGGTTTCGTATATGAGTTATATCAAGTAGCGATTACATTTATTCCCCCAGATACTGGTGTTTCAATTTTAAATGGTATTGTCCTAGAAAACCGTTGTTGTTGGATCTTAGTTACAATAACCCCAACCTTTCACGTATGCCTTGTCCGTGTAGGTCGTACGTTTAGATCTAGGTAAAGAGGTGCCAACTTTTGGAACTCGTTTGATCATAATTCTATTTCACATTGTTAATGTGTGGTCAAATGCTATTTTACTTGTATTTGAGAACTATCTGTCATGTTGTTATTATTATTATTATTATTATTATTATTATTATTTGATGTCCCCTCTAAAGCGTTGTATAAAATCAATGTGTGATCAGTCAACATTTAAATTGGGCCCTAAAGATTTTGAAGAAGATCTCATCACCAGGAGTTATGATTTTAGTTCGCGTGTAATGTGGTTATCACACAAGTTTTTTATTTGAAAACTTAAAGCAGAAACCAGTATATTGTATTACTAGCATTCACGGTGTTAATAGATCGCATTGTTTTAAACCATGCTCACATCAATGTCGTGACTATCAATTAACACGAGTTAAGTCAGGCTTCCCTCCCTTCCACTCCTGAAAGCTGTGTGGTGTTAAAAGACAGCCTATGCTTACGTCTGTTTTATTACCTTCCGACATTTCGAAGACGATGATCAGACGATAGAAAGCTTCCAGCGGTGTGAGGTGAAAAAAACACATCAACCAATCAAGATCATGATCCCTTAATGGCCGTTTTGAATTACACGTGCTTGCAGGGGAGGTTCCTAATTGAAAGGCCGTCCGTGTAACGTATACGGGCACAAAATATTAGAAAACGCTGGTGATCTTTAACTAAGAGATTGAAAAAGCAGCAGCAAACAGGTGTGCAGGATTTATATGGATGGTATTCGCAGGTCGGTAATCACGGGTATGATTGCGACCGTGCATCTTTGTACCTCAGAGAACGAATTGGTTAAGTAAATAAGTTAATACAACGAGGAGTTTGGGGGAAGGGAGGGTTGAACGCACCTGGTTTTGACCACCTTTCAGCTCATAATAGACACCCTCTGTCATTGTAAATTTAATTTTTACCGCATACAAACAAAAAGATCAAGGTATGTCTACACAAAAGGGTACGCTCAATCGACATTTTCAGATTTTGTTTCGACTGATAAACCTGATTCTGGCTTTCGACTTACACTGAAAAGAACTTTGAATTGCAAGCAGACAAGTTACGCTGTAGACATCAGTTCTAATCAATAGAATTGCACATATTAATTCTTTTGAAAATGAAGACAGAAAGGGTTACTCCCAGTGGGGAAGAAGCTGGTCAAGCTGTGTATATTTACGTAATTGATATATTCAGAAATAATCATCTGATAAGCGAGTTAGATGATTTGATACCTTTTATTTTGCTACATTGAATCCAATGATTAAATCGCGCAGGACTAGTGCACTACGGCTGCCGAGGAAGAGTTTGTATCAAAATTGGGTGGTATGTGAGATATGAACACCGACTTTCAAAGTAACATTGCCCTACTTGACACAGTGTTCACGTTTACGCAGTCCGGGTATATAATTTACGCATCGTTTTCTTAAATAAGGACACATATTATTTTTACTTAAGGGGGCATAATAAATGACAAATCGATACTGTGCAAAATTGGGCACGTGAGTCTGTGTCATAACTTGGGACAAATCGTCCAACGTTTTCCATTTTGACACTGCAAAAGTGGACCTCGCTTTCGGTTCGCTTTAGAGAAATCCGACACCACCAAATCGAGGTCGGTCGCTATGTTTTAGGTATTATAGTCACGTGGTTTATGCAACCATGGCCGCGGAAAAGATTGATCCACGTGCGCCGAAGAAAAGCAATTAAACCCTTCATTCCTG